GCAAAAAAGTTTGTGAATTGGACCTTGTTCCCTACAGGAATGCTACAAACCATTTTATAAGACTCATTTCTAACTTGAGGCATGTTGTGTGTTGGCAACTGAAAGGTGCCTCAGTCCTGTGCAGGCAGAAGATGCCAACCATGTACTGGTGGAAAAAATCCTTGACCCATGCAAGTATGCAAACTGACTTAAGGCACTCTTCTCCAGTCAGACAATACAATATGGATATTCTGGGAGTGCTGGTGCCAACATATCTGGAAAAAACTAGGCTGGGGAGCAATGTACTAGAGAATAATGTAGATCCTTACTTCTATGATTATAGGATTTCAAAAAGAGGAGACAACTGGCATTCACACACAGCCATGTATCTGTTTCCCACCCACTTAGTGGCACAATAGTTAAAATATGAGATGGGAGGGGAGGAGGCAAGATTTCTACTGTAGTTCTTACCGCCCCTGCTTTTTTTGTACTGGAATGGTTAAATGACTATTGCCACATTTTCATTTACTTTGCCAGTTAATATTTCTAAAAATCTCTATTTTCATGTTTCAGATCTAGGATCATAATTAATCCTTCCTTCTCCCCAAAGCATTGACCGATTATTTTTATTTCTATTAAATAACTTGCAGTTTGACTTTACATATATTTACCTAAAGAGAATCCCACTGAGTCCAGTGGGGCTTGTCTTCATGTGTGCGTGTGCGCCTTCAAGTCATTTTTTGACTCCTGGAGACTGCTTGGACTAGTCCCTGCAGTTTTCTTGGTTTGCTATTGCCTTCTTCCCAGGGCTGAGAAAGAGCGACTAGCCCAAGGTCACCCAGTTGGCTTTGTGCCTAAGACAGGACTAGAACGCACAGTCGGTTTCTAGCCTGATGCCTTAATCACTAAACCAAACTGTCTTTTTACGTAAGTATGCTTTTATTGCATATTGGCAAATATGATCGTGTCCAAGATAACCATAAGACTATGTTTATTTCATAGCCTCATATGACTCAGCTGAAGGCTTTTAATCAGAATCAGAACAACAGTTTTTCCATACATCAGTAAAATCTCATTAGTGATAGAACAGGAAGGACCATTACAGGGTGCTCAATCTACACACTCAAGAAAGTCTCATATGCAACTCTAAGTATTACAACTCCAGAACAATGTATGCATGGGCGTGAGTATATTTAGAGAGTATGCTACTCTTAATTGTTCACAACCACATTGTCTTGAAAAGTACATTTATTTTTAAAACAAGATTTGTATTCCCATCCTATCTCACTTACACCAGTTATAAAACCAATATCAAAATAATATTTAAGAAGCCTGTAAAACTTTAAGATAATCCAGTGATATTCCTAACATTGTTTTTATCATCCAAATAAGTCCGTGATAAAGGCTAGCTTGGATAGAAAAGCATTATATTAAGCAAACGTGGCACTCTTTCAGATGTCATGTAGAATGCATCTTTGAACCTCCTGCATGCTATCTTTTAATGTTGGATATAAACGGAAAAACAGCAAATCTTATTTTATTTTTCCAGCCAACCTAGGAATAATATTCCCATTACAGCTGCAATAAATTTTTTTAAAGTACTTAAGCATAACATCAGATGCGAAAATATTCACAATTTCATCTGAAAGGCTGATATGAATGAAGGACACAGATGTACTATAAGAAGTTTTAGATATTACTATATCTATATTAATGGCAGGAAAACATGCTGATTCCCAGTCACAAATGTCTACTCCTTGAAATGTATGAAACTCTGAGAGCATTGTCAAATATGTTGCTGAAAGAATTTGTAACATTTATTTCCTTTATCAGTAGGGCATTTGTATATAAAATAGGCTCCCAGTGTCTCTGGCATTGACTACTGAACAAGGATCTGCCTCCCAAGCAATCTTGGGTCAACTTGCTGTCACCTTCTAAAGGCCTGACTCATGATAAGTTTTTCCTTGATTCAGAATATTTCTTTTAAGTCCCTCTCCCCCACCCACCCACATTTTGAAGGAATAGCTGCTAAATTTTTGATTTTAGAAAACTTCAGGAACTCATTCTAAGGAACAGGCACTCTCAACCTCCCACGTAGTTGTCTTAAAGTGGGGACAAGAATCAAGCTGGCATCAGAGCTCTGTAGTTTGCTTTGCATGGCTGTTAACACAGTTCTGCAAGGCAGTTAATTGTTATGTGTATATTCAAAGCTCTGCTCAGTACATGTGACCAGCATTACCAAATCAGTCACCTACAAAACACTGGTAGACTGGAACAATACTTAAGGGAATCTAAGTGACACAATAACAGCTTTCATATATAACTGCTGCTCTGTCCAGTACTTTGCAAAATACAGAATATTTTACCATTATTTCTATTCTACATACAGTGCTTTAGATGTTACTAAAGCAACTGTGGATAACATCAGTAATAAAGTGTTTGAAATGCCTCATACTTCTTTCTGTACTTCTTCCATAGAAATGTGCAAGTTATTTCAGCATGTCACCTGCACAAGTTTCCATTTAGAAAATGCAATAGCGAAGAAGAGGGCCAATAGCTCTTGTAAATCCATTTAGGGAAAGCACCCTGCAGTTTTAGACAGTGAGAAGGTTTAAAGCTCTGATCTTAGAATATATCTACTAGGCCAGATGCAGAGCCCCATTTTTATCCAACATGCTTAATGTCACTTATGGCGCCTTAAAGAATAACAGACTTATTACATTATAAAGATTTATGAGCTAGCTGGAATCATCCCGGCAGGCGCACTTTCAACAAATGACACAAGTTGGACTCAGGAGAAATGTAGGGTGCCTTCCTTAATGCTCCATGGGATAAAGAGGTCAGCATGGTAAGACTAGGTTAGGCCAATGGACCAAAGATTTCCAATTCACAGAGCTCCACAAAGATGTGAACAGACTTTTTGCTCCTCCAAATTATACTTCACTCACTGTGCCAAACAACTGCTTGGCAAGGTAGAGAAAAAGTGGTGGACTTGCAGAAGCGTATCACTGGAGAAAGTTAAACATTTTCCTTCCAGCAATGATCAAGAGAGATCTGGTTTCTTTCCTCCAAATTCCAGGATTAGGACAGCAATCTGTGTGCTGGGGGTTAGGTGGGAGGTGAGTCAGTGGGATTTCCCAGATTGCTTGCTGGCTATGGGCTGCTTACTGATGCTATTGAGAAATAAATAAATAGCATTTTATACAACTGATGAGTCTACAATAATGCCACAATAAGAGTAGAATCCTACTACTCATCTTTTGGCAATTTGAAAAGAATGGGGCTCCAGAGAGGTTAAAAGGAAGATAACTTCCTATTGTGGGACTTGAAGTAGTACAACACACTGCTATACAATACATTACTCTGTGATGCTATAGATTCATACACCACGCTACACCATAAACCAGTTTATAAATTATAGCAGCTAGGTTTATACAACACACTAAGACAAGTTGTCAAAAGTTTTATACCAGGCATAACTATAAAATTCCCAGCTCCACATTTCCAAGCAGACAGAAGATGCCTAAGAAGTATTTTATTGTAGAGAATTGGGAATCCACACATTCAAAAAGTTTTCTATACAGCAGCACATAGGAAATACATACAAACATATATGTGTGTGTATATATATGTCAGATCCAGGTTTCAATTCTTGGGCCGCCTCTTCTCACTTTTTTGAGTTGACTTCTGCCTGTTCTTTTCCTTGAAGATCTCTGCCATCTGTTCCTTGTTTATAAATTTGCTCTCTCTGATGTAAGTACCAAGGGCTCCTACCTCACTAGCCTCAGCCCTTACAAAAGAGCACAGAAACCTATTATGGCTTAGAATAGGCCCAGCCTGAAACTGCTATCCTTTTAGCTATTAGGCAATATGCTTCTACCTCCTATTTCTTATCTTTCATACACTGCTTTTAATTGGTTTTGTAGAATGTTTTCATTGTTGGTTTTATTGTACACAGTCCAGAGTCACTTTGTGTGAGATGGGCGGCCATATAAATTTAACAAATAAATAAATAACACAATCAATGCATACATGCTTGCAGGGTTTCTCAACCTTAGCAACTCTTAAGTTGTGTGGACTTCATCTCCCAGAATTCCCCAGCCAGCTTGCTGGCTGGGGAATTCTGGGAGATGAAGTCCACACATCTTAGAGTTGCTAAGGTTAAGAAACCCTATGTGTTTGCATACAAATAGTAAATATGCATCTTCATTTGCTGGTTTCCTGTAGAGCAATGCCCTATGCTCTATTTTAAATTACACCAGCCACATCCCATTGGAAGACCTACTGTTGCTGTATTAAAAATCCCCAGAGGGAGAGGCAATGAAGTATAAAAAGCTTTGTTTAACCAAGTTATTTTTTCAAAGCACAGCTAATAGAGGAATACCTACCAAGTAAGGAATCCCTAGGGGGAAAAGTACTTAAAAATCAAATACTACCTGAGTGAGAGGAAATTGGTTAGTTGTGTTTTCATAAAATCTCTCTCAAGGCAAGTGCTAATCTCCTCAGTTCCGGGGGTCTAGCCAAGGCTTTTGCTTAGCACATGATTCCCAGCGGAGGGGAACAATTACACCAAGTCAGCAGTACAGTACTTCGACTTTAAACACCGGGTGCCCCACTTTACTCCGAAAGCCTGGAAGCCTAACCGAAGCAATCCCGCAGCAAACATGTGCGAAAGTGGGGAGCAAAAATAAAGCATCTCGGATTGCTGAAGAAAGGGACGGCAAGATTTAATCCATGGAAAGCGCCGCCCAGCTAAGCGTTCACCTCACTTCAGACAAAATAGGCTGCTGCTGAGAATAAAAGCAGAGGGGGAAAGAAGTGCGAAGATTTTGAGTTTTAAAATAGGAATGCTAGAGGGTAAATGGAGGGGGAGGAGGACAAATACGGGGGGGGGGAATGTAAACGTTCCTCCGGACGGGTTGTTGG